ACCTTGGCAGTCTCCTTCTTCTGAATCCCCTCATAAGTGGCTCCTTCCTCAGGCTGAGGGAGTCTGGGGGCTTTGCCTTCAGCGATCAGCCTCACTGCCTGCACCTGGGGAGATCCGGTGGGTTGCCATCCCCATCAGGAGGACCTTGCCTTCCTCCCAGCCCCAGGGTCCCACAGTAAGCCTGGACCCTTCCCCAGACTGAACAGACTTGCCTGGCACATAGCAGGCACCCAAGAAACACCTGTCACATGAACAAGGGAGTCAGTGTGAACCTAACTCCTGCTGCACACCCACAGACCTGCCCTCTCTACCTGGCAAAGGCGTAGATTACATAAATCTTACATCTTCTGAGATCTTAGCAGATTATATAAACTGTAAAGCTCTGCAGGTATAACACAGACACAGATGTCCATGTTGCTGTCTAAGCCTCTGCCTTGTAAGGAGAGTGAATCCTGAGCCCTGTGGTGGGCTTGAAGGTGCAAGTTTGGAGGTCAGAGATGAAGCAGGAAGTAGTTTCTCTGTGATAGGAAAGAGGAAAGTGGTGGGAAAGGAATCAGGGGAAAGGGAGGAGAGCCAAGAAGTCTGTGTCCACGTGAGTGAGAGCCTAAGGGAAGAGAGGTGCCAAAAATGGGAAGTGAAGGGTGTCAGAGCGTCTGAGGCAGGGCTGCCCGATGGAGCCCTCTACGGCGATAGACAAGTTCTAAGACTGCACGATCGGACATGGTAGCCAGGGGCCTTGGAATGTGGCTGAGACTGGGGAACTGAATCTTTCAGTATAATTCATTTTAATTAATTTAATAGCTATATGTGACTAGCGGCTGCCTTGTTGGACAGTGAAGCTTCAAGGAGTATTTGAGTTGCTTGCCATGGAAAGCACAGGAAAGCCCCTTCTCTGTCCCACTAAATCTCCAGCAAGTTTACTTTGCTCACTACTTTTGTGAGCTGGTCAGTCTGTGCCAAACACAAGTTTAACATAACTGAAAAATAAAAGGCAATGGCTGTGAACTGAGGACGAGGGGAAAGTGGATGCTGCGGCTGCCCTTCCTGCTGCTCCCAAAAATCGAGGGCTCCCCAGGGCCTCCCTCCCTCCCACCCGCTGCATGGACAGCGCCTTTGCCTCCGGCCCTGCCAGCCAACCTTCTCCCGGGCAGGGGCAGCAGCCCTCAGCTATGATTCCCCGCTCCCCAACCCCCCAACCGCCACTGTTGGCTCAGGCCCATGGCCCGCCACCCTGCCTCTCAGCAGTGCCACCTGCCAGGGTAGTTGAGCTGCCCTGCCACTCAGGCCATGTGACCACAGGGCACAGCCTTCTCAGCTTGCTGCAGCAGGAAGCATGTGACTGAGGCAGCCTATCAGAGCACTATATCACCTCAGCCAGTGATTGGTTCATGAGGATCACATGACCCCAAAACCGGCCAATCAGAATCTTCCCTGATTTGTGATTGATGAATTCCAAGAGAAAGAGTGTTTTATCAGAACATTCCATCACCCCAGCTGGTGACTGGCTGATGAGGATCACAAGACCCAAAAACTGGCCAGTCAGAATCTCCCCTGATTTGTGATTGATGAAAGTGAGTTTCTCTTTCTTTGGAATCAAGCATTAGAATCCTTGAGCTACAGTGGCTATCTTTCCTCTAATTCAGGGCAGCCCAACTGAGAATGAAGCTAATCACACAGAAAAAAGAAGAATCAATGAGTCAATAAGGGGAGAGAAATAGAATCCTAATGACATCATGGTTGAAGCTCCTGGATTGAGCAGGGCATGACCCCATCTCTGCCTTTAGCCTTGTCTATTAAATGGGCCCCAAAATGTCCCGTTTTTGCCAAATGCTTTTTGAGTTGGGTTCTGCGTGTTGTGAGCAAGAGTTCCTCCTAATTCAATACACTATTTGTCCTAATCCTGCCTCTGAAACCTTGAAGTGAGAGCCCTCTCCCTCTAGAATCCTGAATTTGGGAAACAGATTCCTGGTCTCCAAGAGCAGTGGGCTGGGTCTAGGGAGGGTGCTTGAGGGTGCATCGGGGCGGGCAGGGCAGGGCGGCTCCAGGCCCTCACCATCCCTTTGATGCCTTCTGGGAAGAGGAAGCGGTTGTACAGCGTGCTCACGGTGTCATCCGGGAGCACCTCGCACTCCTTCTGCAGCAGAAGGTCCCCGGTGTCCAGACCATCGTCTGCCCAGAAGATGGAAAATCCCCCTTTCTTATCTCCGTGAATGAGGGTCCTAGGAAGCAAAAGAGTGAAACCCCGAGTTCTCGAGGAAGGGCCACAGAGGTTGCCCTAGGTGCAGCCCGATGGCCCTGCCACCCTTCAGGAAGCCCTCTCTCCCCAGGGGGAGGAGTGACACTGGCTCCAGCAGGAAATGGAAGAAGGAAAACAGTATGTATTGATGCCAACCATGGGCCAGGAATTGTGCTAAAAGCCCTATATGCCTTACATAACTGAGTCTTCACAGCAGAGATAACAGGTATGGTATACTCGGTTTACAGATAGGGTAACTAAGGCCCAGAAAAGTGAAGTAACACCAACAAAGATCAGAGCGCATGAATCCCAACAGACCAGTCTGACTACGAATCCACTCTCTTTTCTCAACTCAAATGTCTTCTCTTTTTGACCACCCATCTACCTTGTCAACCCATTTGTTGTCTTGTTGGGACTTCCGTCATCTCAGACTGCCTAGTGGAGGCCATCCTTTCCTCCATCTTTATCTCTTTCTACATACTGTGCTGCCTAGAGCAGCAGTAGTGGAGGTAGTAGGACCCCCGGCTCAGATGGGTCCTGGCCCCTGTGCCTCCTGGTGCCCTCCCTGTCCCAGCTGGGGGATGGGAACACTGACAGTGCCAGCTTCTCGGATGACTGCGGGAATGCAGAGTGCTTAGCAACACCTGCTCCCAGTGCTCTAGAGCCTTCTCTCATTGATAACCTTGCACAGTCTGTTCTGTGGCTAACATTTGGCAGCACAGGACAGGCACCTGAGTGCTACCCACTCTGCAGCCCTAGAAATGCTTTGGGCTAATGGAATGCAACAAGTCAGAGCTGAGGGAGGGACATGTAAGTCCTATATGTGTTTTTGGCCCCCTGTGTTTTTGCCCCATCTCACCAGTTGATGGCTGAGGCCCCTCGGTGCCTGGGGAGCAGTGATGGGTGATATATGATAGAGCCGTGCTGGGGAGCATTGATGATCTCCATAGGGATGAACTGGCTGCAGAAGGGCAGGACATTGAGCTCGGCCCCCAAAGCCTGGTATTTTGCCACCACATCAGGCAAAGCCTGTCCTTTTGCACGCCACCGGGCAAACTTGAATACTGGCACTCCATCCTTCTCAGCTTGCAGACCTGTGGGACGGTGGATAAGAAACTGGCCCCTCTCTATCACCCACCCACACATGGCCACCTCTGCCTTTCCAGCAGAGTGGTTAATGGGCCTTCTTTCAGTGCCTGCCCTCTCACCCCCACCCCAGCCAGGCTCCATCAGGCAACACAGACGGGATGCATTGGCCAAGCATGAGGCTCTGGGGGCTGCCTTGGCTGCACTCTGACTTCTGCTGAACCCCAGGACCTCTGAGTGTCACCTCTGAGTCTCCCTCTTCCAGACCCCAGATGGCTGACCCCTGCCCTCGCTCCTCTCCTGAGGCCTTGCCATCCCCATCATTGATCTCCTGTCTCCTGGCCCCTCTACTATTCTCTCTTTGATGGGGACTGGCCCCCTGAAGATGGCATTTCTGCTTTGCCAGCTGTTTCCTGAGGAAGGAAGATGGGGAAGAAAGGCGACACGGGCATCCTCACTCCTTTTTTGTCTAGTGGGTTCCTGTCCTATGAGCCTCCCCCAGCCCAGCTTCTTCATCCCAGCCACAGTCGTTCCTTCCCAGAGCAATGGCTAAATCAGTTTTTCCATCATCTGCAGAACTAGCCTCAAAATGTACACATGCGCACATGCACGCACGCACGCTCACATACACACACACACACACTCCAGAGGCCCAAGTACAGCCTGCAGGGGATCCTCCTCCTGCCCAGTCACCAGCACACCCTCCTCAAAGGCCTGGATTACAGGCCCAAGCTTCCAAGTTTTTGTAGTTAAAAGCTTCCTCCTTTATCTCAGCCTTAGAGTGGGCAGCTGCTTCCTGCAGTCACCGTCCCCAATAACTTCAGGCTCTCTGCCTTCCATTCTTCAATACCCAAGGAACACTTCCTTGTATTCAGTTATCTGTTAGAGCCTCTGGTGTATTGTTTGGCCCCTGACTAGACTGGCCCTCCTCTCTAGCCTCCTCCTCTGTCACTCTGTCCTGGTGTCTGGTGGTTTTGAGGGAGGGTGGAATGTGATGTCAGCAAATTGGACTGCGCTTGCAAAAGCTGTCTCACAGAGACCAATGAAATATTGCTGCAGGCCATCTGAGATCAAGGTCAAGTAGGAGACCCAGCCAGGCTTGCTCTCAGTCCAGGGTCAGCAGCTGGGGTGAGTGGTCACTTAGTGGCTGGGTGTAGGACCCAGGCTGTGGTGGGGTCAGGATGTGTCATGGTTCACTTGTGGTCATATCCAAGACTGAAGCCTGGCTGGCATAGGGTGGTGGATGCTGGAGCTGATTCTAGGGTCAGGCTGCAGCTTCTCCATTAAGGGAGGCTGGCTATTCCTTAACAAACCACACTTCTGTGCCTGGCCAGGCCTACAAGCCCCCTTTCCTAATCCTGGCCTTCTATCCTTAAGCCCTGCCCCACAGCCTATCTCCATCAGGCCTGAGAAGGACCAGTCAGTGTTCCTAGAGGGTCTGTCCATCCAAGCAGAGGCCCCTGCATGCTGCCTACTGAGGTTCCCAGCTCTTAGGCAGTGGCCCAGACCTGTGATTCTCAAACTGTGCTCCTCCTTGTACCAGAGACGCCAGTAACCCCCAGGTACTTGTCAGAGAATACAAATTTCAGACTGCACCTCATTGTGAATCAGAAACTCCCAGGGTGGGCTCAGTACTCTGTATGGTTTTTTTCTTTTCTTTTAAAAAATTAAAATGCTAGGGGAGAGTGCAAATGCAGTTGCCCATTACTACAAATTATGCAGTCGAGTTTCCCATATTTGGGGAAATCGCAGGGGTCAGCACATCCAGAGTACAATGAAGAAGCCTCGCCCTGGGAAAACCACCTTCGCGATTGGGTCTCTCCCTGCCAGGTGAGTAGAGCACTGTGTGTTTTGACAGCAGCCCCAGCAATGGTGATGCCGTGCATGCCCACCTTTCAGAACATGGACCCCCAGTTCAGAACATGGAGCCCTTCCCAAGCATGGATGCTGGGTCAGAGAAGCTCTGTGTGGGACCTGGGACCAGGCAGGGCTTCTCTACAGCCCTTCTCCAGGACACTAATGCCACCCCATAATCAGGTGGGGAGGGGATCACCACTGTATTCCAGCAAAGCCCAGCAGCCAGCTGGCACTGGAGCAGGATTCAAGGTAGACCGCTTATGGCTGCCTCCCAGCCAGAGCAGAGGCCCCAAAGACTTTGGCTCTCAGCCTCCCACCCACTGCTTCCCCTCTGCCTCGGCAAGCCAGCCACCCTCCATTGGCTTCCCTGTTGCAGGCGTCTCACTCACCCAGTGGGTCAGCCTTCCCATCCTTGTCTGGAACAGTGAACACACCCACCACTTCATGGCCCTCCTTCCTCAGGTGACAGTAAACTTCCTGGCCAAACAGGCTCTGCCCAATCACCGCAATCTTCATGGCAGTAGGATGGTTGGAAGGACCTGGGGAAAGAATAAGGCAGCAACTAGGCAGAGATCGCTGGTCTCAGAGAAGCCAACCCTGGTTCAAGCCAGGGCAGCTGATGGCACCTGGTCTGCTCTACCCCAATCTCCTCTGTGACTCTGTAGGAGGCAGGACACTGAGGGGAGACTGTACTGTAAGAGGGACCGGGGAAAGACGTACATATGACCCAAAGGATCGCTAATGCCAGAATATTCAATATTCAATGCCAGCCACAGTGGGTGAGCTGGATATGGATTGCAGAATTAGGGGATTCCCTTTTGAAACCTTCCAAACTGGAACAGAATGCTGGTTGTCAAGATGTTTGAGATGTATTTGAGCATATTTCTGAATTAACCAGTTCTATGGCCTTGGTCAAGTCACACTTGTTCATGAGAAAGATGCCACATCCCTTAAATGGCTTTCAGCCTAGAGATTAGGCTTATTCCTCTGAGCCAGGAGCCACAAAAGGAGCAAGGGGAGCCCCCGCTGAAGGGGCTGTCCAACTGAGCTGCAACAGAAAAGGGGCCTGGGCGGGCAGGCCTGGGGATGAAGTGGTGGAAAGTGGAATGGGTTCCACTAAGGAAGATGTGAGGGATGAAGCCTAGCTAATTGTGCACATTCTCTAGAGATATCGGTCATTCATTCACCTCACGAATATTTGTAAAACCTAAACTATTATTTACTTAATACATTTCTTTAAATTGTCCATTTACCAAAATAAGAATTTTTAAGGAAATTTTTATAAAAGCAGAGTATACTTCATACGTACAGGAAGTGCACAAATCATAGATATGTAGCTCAATGAGTTTCACAAACCAAACACATCACTGTCATCATATATACATATACATGTGTGTATATATATATATACACACACATCCTCTTTATATGTATTCATCTTACATAAATGGAATAATACAGTGTTTTGCAAATTTTCTCCCTCAACATTATCTTTGTGGTTCCATGTAGTTGTACAGAGTTTATTCTCATTGCTGCAGAGTATTTTGTTATGTGGATGTCCTGAAGTTCATTTACTCACTCTACTGTTAAGGGAATTTGACTAGTTACCAGTTTGAAGGTATTACAAATAGGATGCTACGAAGATTTTTGCACACCATCTTCATGGTACATATGTACACATCTCCATCAGGTATGTATTTAGGGTGGAATTCCTGGGTTATAGGTGTGAAAATTTTCGGCTTTAACAGATCCTGCCAGATTTCCAAAGTGGTTGTACCAGTTTCTGCTTCCATGTGCTCTCTACCTTGGCTTGTGTGTTTATTTTAGCTCTTTTTCTATAATGAAATTCAGCTGCATCATTGGGGTTTAATTTGCAATTCCCTGGCGACCAATGAAGTCAAGTACCTTTTCCTATGTTTCTTGGCCGTTTGGATATCCTTTTGTGGGAATCGTCTCTTCAAATCTGTTGTCTATTTTTTCCATTGGGTGGTTTTATTCTTATTGAAAGGGAGTTTGTTCCTGTTCTGTTTTGTTTTTAAATCATCTAGACTGTGAGTTCTTTGTCAGATATGCGTAAGGAAAATATCTTCCCTAATTCTATGGCTTCCTTTTCTCATCCTCATATAATGTCTTTTCATGAACAGATGTTCTTAAATTTAACACGGTACATTTTATCAAACATTTCCTTTACGGTTAGTGGTATTTTAAAAATCCTTGCCTACTCCAAGTTCATGAAGATGTTGTCCTTGTCGTTCAAGATCTTTATTGTTGGCCGGGCTCGGTGGCTCACGCCTGTAATCCCAGCACTTTGGGAGGCCGAGGTGGGTGGATCACGAGGTCAAGAGATCGAGACTAGCCTGGTCAACATGGTGAAACCCCATCTCTACTAAAAATACAAAAAATTAGCTGGGCATGGTGCGCGTGCCTGTAATCCCAGCTACTCAGGAGGCTGAGGCAGGAGAACTGCTTGAACCCAGGAGGCGGAGGTTGCAGTGAGCTGAGATCACGCCATTGCACTCCGGCCTGGGTAACAAGAGTGAAACTCCGTCTCAAAAAAAAAAAAAAAAGATCTTTATTGTTTTGCCTTTTACATAAGATGTGCAATCCCTCTGGAATTGGTTTTTGCATACAATGTGAGGGAGAAGTCCAGAATTTTTTTTCCCATATGTATATAAAATTAACCCAGCACTAGTTACTGAAAAGACGCTTCTTCATTGAAAAGGAGCATACATGTATATGTCTATCTTTGAATCTTTGGTCAGTTTGTCTAAATTTGCATTTAGTATAGCTTTAAAATGTTTTCGTTGTTGTCGTTGTAGTAGTGAAGGTACATAACATAAAGCTTTATTGTAGTTGACCTACCTAGTAGTTGTGAAGTGGTATTTCATTGTGGTTTTGATTTGTATTCTTCTATTGAATCAGGATGTTGAACATCTTTTCACGTGTTTTTTGTTCGTTTGTATACCTTCTTTGGAGAAATGTTTACTCGAGTTCTTTGACCCATTTTAAAAATTGGTTTGTCTTTTTTATTGTTAGCAGATAGAAATATAATTGATTTTGTACATTGATGTTGTATTAATCAGGACCTTAACTGATTCACATATAAATTTTCATATAGTGTAGATTCTTGTGGTTTCCTAAGTATACAATCATGTTATGATATTGTTTTATTTCTCTCTTTCCAATCCTGAAGTTTCTCATTTCATTTACTTCCTTTTTGCACTTGCCAATTTATTCACTACAATGTTGAATGCAGATGGTGACAGTAGATCCTGTCTCATTCCTGTGACCTTGGGAAGAAACCATTCAATATTTAACCATTGGTTATCTTTGGGGAATTTTGGTAGATAGACTAGCATATTATGAAAGTTATCTTATTAATATATTTCTGGCTGCCAATTATGACAAGGAGTAGTATTTGTTTTTTTTTTGGGGGGGGTATTATTATTACTATTATTTTTTTGAGACAGAGTCTTGCTCTGTTGCCCAGGCTGTAATCAATGGTGCAATCTTGGCTCATTGCAACCTCCACCTCCAGGGCTCAAGTGCTTTTCCTGCCTCAGCCTTTCAAGTAGCTGGGATTACAGGCAGGCACCACCGTCCACAGATAATTTTTCTATTTTTAGTAGAGATGGAATTTCACCATGTTGCCCAGCTGGTCTTGAACTCCTGACCTCAGGTGATCCACCTGCCTCGGCCTCCCAAAGTGCTGGGATTACAGGCGTGAGCCACAGTGCCCAGCCTTTATTTGTTTTTTTTAATCTATGCTTGTAAGAAATGTTGATGTGAACCAGTCCCAGTGGCTCACCACTGCAACCCCAGCACTTTGGGAGGCTGAGGTGGGCAGACTGCTAGAGGCCAAGAGCTCAAGACCAGCCTTAGCAACATAGTGAGACCCCATCTCTACAAAAAATACAAACAAATTAGCTGGGCATGGTGGTGTATGCCTGTAGTCCCAGATACTCTGGAGGCTGAGGCAGGAGAATGACTTGAGTCTGGGAGTTTGAGGCTGGAGTAAGCCAAGATCCTACCACTGCACTCCAGCCTGGGTGACAGAGTGAGATAGTATCTCAAAAAAAAAAAAAAAAAAAAAAAAAAGGCAAGGTGTGTAAGGGTGGAATGAAAGAGAAAAAAAGAAAAGAGAATAGAAAAGAAAGAAAAGATAAGAAAAGAATATCGACGTGTCAACTACTTCCTTTAACAAATGTCCTATTCAGGTTTTGGTGTAGCTTTATCTTTTTTTTTCAACTTTTATTATAGAAACAGGGGGTGCACATCCAGGTTTGATATGTGAGTGTATTGCACCCAAGTAGTAAGCACAGTACCCAGTGGAGTTTTTTCAACCCATTCCCCTACCATGTTTGACAGTCTGCAGTGCCTGTTGTTCCCATTTTATGTGCATGTGTGCTCAAAGTTGAGCTCCTACTCACAAGCGAGAACATGCAGTAACTGGTTTTCTTTTTCTGCCTTAATTCACTTAGGATTATGGCCTCTAGCTCTACCCATATTGCTGCAAAACATGCTTTCACTCTTTTTTATGGTGTATAATATTCTATGATGTATATGTACCCCATTTTATTTATCCAATCCACCATTGTTGGGCACCTAGGTTGATTCCCTGTCATTGCTGCTATGAATAGTCCAATGATGAACATACAAGTGCTTGAGTCTTTTTCATATAATTATCTATTTTCCTTTGGGTATATACCCAGTAATGGGATGCTGGGTTGGATGGTAGTTCTAAGTTCTTTGAGAAATCTCTAAACTTTTCTTTAAGAAACTTCCACAGTGGCTGAGCTAATTTACATTCCCACCAACAGTATATAGGCGTTCTCTTTTCTCCATAGCCTTACCAGCACTGTTGTTTATTGACTTTAGTAATAGCCATTCTGACCAGAGTAAGACGGTATCTCATTGTGATATTGATTTGTATTTCTCTAATAATTAGAAACATTTAAAAATTTGTCTTGGGTGCTTGTAT